TAAAGAAGAAATTTCAAGGACGAACAGATCCATAAGCGTATTTTTTTAAATAAGAAATTTCAGGGACCAACATAGCCATAAACATCGATTTTTTTAAAAGAAAAAATTTCAAGGACCGACATAGCCTTAAACATCGATTTTTTTAAACTAGAGATCTTCAAGGACCCCGAGAACCATAAGCGAGGAGTCATAAGCGGGTATTTTTTTTAAAAAGATTTTTTCAAAGACCTTCGGACCCATAAGATTTTTTAACAAGACTTCTTCAGGGACCTTGAATCCCATAGATGTGGATTATTAAAGAAGTTTTTTTAAGACTAAGATTGACCTACGCTGCCACATTTTTCCAAGTTTATTTTCTTCACATTGAGCACTACCTGTGGCAAATTATAAGCAATTTGATTTTAAAATGTGGACAATGGATACAGAATACCATAAATCGGGAGATACGGTTTAAAATACATAGTACTTCGACAATAGATTTAGGTCCATTAAAATATGTTTACAGCACGCTAAAAAATACTTGGGTAAATAATTGAACCATTTTTGGGAATAAATATTCGAATTTTTATTATTAAACAGGAACAGGAATTTTCATTATTAGAACAGATCAAAAGACCAGAAAGTGTTTTTCGTAGAAGATCGTAGAAGTGTCTTCATAGAAACCCGTAAGTCTTGTTCATAGTAGGTATTAGAAATCATTCATTATAGGTCATTTTTGGTATGAGTTGGTCCTATCCATGATTTTTTATAAACAACTAGATGACCTTATTCCCTCTCCATTAGAAGTTTTTCGCCTTTATATTTTTATTTCTTATTTTCATTTAACTAACACTCTAATTATGTTTTTATGACTCCAATGTCCATATACTTATTTGAAAAACTTAAGAAATTCTTATAAGGTTGCAAAATTAAATATGTATGTATGCGACACGACAACCTGTTGCTGACATCTGCAAAAGTATATAACTACATACATAAATTCATTTATATACCACTGGGAAATACAATATTTATATAAGTAAATGTTTATAAGTATCACATTTGAACTGAAGTGATTTAGAACCAACGACAATGTAGGGTTGTTTGTTTGTTTGTATGACAAACATATGCGAAGGAAATGTGAAATTGTCTTAACGAATAATGGAAATAGAAAACTGCTTATTTATTATGTTTATTTTCTTTTTCCTTTACAGACATAGTTTCTTAAAGCAAAACAGAAGAGTGAAAATAAAGGTTAAAGTGACATTGGTTAGTAAAAAAAAATCAGGAAACCAAATACAAAAATAGAAGATATAGATGAAATTTATTAAAGCGGAAAAAAGACAGTATTGAAAAAGGATAAAAAGAGAAAATTATTTTTGGATTTTTAATTGTTGTATTTATTTATCAACAAATAAATTGCCTTTTAAGTCATAAGTGTTCAATGTTTTTAACAATGATTTGTTGAAGGTTGAATTTGGTATCTCACGAATAAATGCTTCAATGTTGGCTTCCAATGCGTCAATTGAAAAGGGGTTGTCTGTATAGATATGATCTTTAACACAGCTCCACAAAAATAGCCTAAAGGTGTTAGATCTTACGGTCCCGAGCGTGGGCCCACTAAACCATAAAATAGAAGAAGCGAGATGAACTTTCTTGACAGAGCATGCATTTTGATACTAATATTCAATTACCTTTTGTAAGGCGTGTTGTTTTAAAAAAGCTAATAGGCAAAAAGAAAAAAAAAAAAAAACCCCTAAAAAATACCAAGCCTGGGCAATATTTCGCGATATTTGCACTCTCTTGACCGACTAGAGGTCAGCAAATATTACTAACATTGAGTACAATAATTATCCCTATTCCCTTTAACGTGGGTTGTGTTCTGATGTTCGGCTTATAATTGTGGCCTAAAAATCGATTCTAAAATAACCCTAAAAAAATAAGTTTTCGGTCGACTTCATCCTAATATTATCATCTGATCATCAACGGAAATTATAGGCGTTGTCCTTGACCATAACTGGACATTTCAAAGCGATCAGCGCTATATTTCCGCCCTATTACCACACGGTAATAGGTTACTAAATAATATCTGAATACGTAAGGACTTGTAAATATTTACGTGTAACTCCTACATCCGACCGAGTACATACGACAATAAAATTGGTATCAATTTAAAGGTCAACCACTCCTCTTGGATATACTATCGACATCTCGGCTTCATGTCCTTCAGGTAAATATATATGCCATAGAATACTAATTTTTTATTTTTCACACAAAAGTCAAGGTCCATTTGACTTTATCAAAACAAGCATGATTAAAATATTCTCCATTTAAAAATTCGCGATGCGCTATAATTGCAGCGCAGAAAATCAGACGTCCCTAAATATTAACCGAAAACAATAGGGTCTTCGTACATATAAAATTTCATGAAGATTGATCCATAGCTGTGGCCTGTATCGTGTTTAAAAATTATAATGGTCAGACGGACACACTTGTCTAGATCGACTCAGCTAGTCGAGTTATGACGATTGGTACACTTAAAGGTGGGTCTAGGACCAATATTTCGCTATAATACCCTGACAACATAGTTGTGTAGGGTGTAAAAATTAAGGAACAACTCTAGTTTAGTAAAAACGAACAGATTTTTCTGATTTTTTTCCAGAGGTAGGTATTTTTTCCCTAATTATGGAGATTTTTTATTTTCTTGGGGAAATGGGGATATCTTTTTTACCCGGTTATTTGACCCGGAAGTTCGGGTACTGGTACCCGGTTATATCCGGTTAATATAAAATGGGTATCATTTTAAAGGTTATAAGATATGAGACCTACAAAAACAAGGAAAATGTTTCTATATGACAGAATATCCTTTTAAATAGCATGGTTTTTTGTGGTGGTTGGCCTGGTTTTAAAACTTTCACCTACGGACAGACTTTAAAATAGAATATTTTTTGTGTAGGTGGCCTTCGGCAGGGGATTTATAACTTTCTCCTATGCACAGATAACAAAAACGGCGACGCGACAGAAACTCCTTCTAAATATAATGTTTCTGTGTAGCCGGCCTTCGGCCGGGGATTTGAAATTTTCCATGGGGTTCCAGTTCCAGGACAGTGCTTGTAATTTTTCGGTGATAATTTTGGGATGAAGTGGACCGAAAATTAATTTTTTGCAATTTTTCGAATCGATATATAGGCAACAGTTATAAGCCGATCATCACCATACGCTGAAGTCAATCTGGACAAGTAATAAAATATGTCAGTGTATGGAAGATGTGCTCTTGACCTCTAAGAGGGTGCAAATGTCACGAAATATTTCCCAGGCTCGGAATAAACTTCTTTAGAAAGTTAGAACTCTGTCCTAGTTGTGTAGGGTATCGTTATGTCGGCCCCGACTATACTGCTCTGCTCACTGGTTTTTCCCTAATTATGGAGATTTTTTATTTCCTTGGGGATATGGGGATGGGGATATCTTTTTTTACCTGGTTATTTGACCCGGAAGTTCGGGTACTGGTACCCGGTTATATCCGGTTAATATAAAATGGGTATCTTTTTAAAGGTTATAAAAATAACTTCCCATTGAGTGCTGATATGATGCCCAAAATTTGCTTTCAAGCCTTATAAAATATTTTATAATTTTTGGTTGTAAAGTTGTGGATCAAAAGATATGGGCCTTAGAACCCTACAAAAACAAGGAAAATCTTTCTACATGACAGAATCACCTTTTAAATAGCATGGCCTTTGACCGAGATTCAAAGACTTTTTCCCATGGAAGGATACCAACACCGGCTACGCGACAGAATTTCCTTGCTTTTGTAGGGTTCTAAGGCCCACATCTTTTGATCCACAACAGATGCAGCCACATATCGCTCCATTTTGGAAAATGCAACTTGTGGGCATCATATCACCACTCAATTTTTATAATTGGAGAGTGACTATAATTTGACCAAAGTTCGACTTTTATGCGGTTTTTCAAAAAAATCGGGGACCAAAACCCATTTTTTTATTGAAATTTAAAATAACGTTTTTTGTAATAAATATATATGAAAGAAACCACTCAATGGAAATGTATTTTTATATCCTTAAAAAAGAAATCCATATTAACCGGATCCGTACAACCAAATGAATATACAATACACAGAAAACATGGTCACCCATGCACAATTTTTCGACAACTGAAAAAGCAAGCCAAAGTGGTTTACGCATATAGAGAACAAGATTGCAATATACAAAAATGTGGTTGCGGGTCGGAAAAATATTAAACCAAGATTTTATGAGCGCTCTCCCCTACCCGTCATTGGTCATTTTTTACTAAACTAGAGTTAAACCTTTTTTATTAACATTATTAAATAAACCTCCGATCGTCCAAAATATGCTTTTAAATAAGACAGTTTCTGAAAGTTAATAGTTAAAAAATCACAGTTTATTATTAACAGAATATCTCTTCATTATGAAAAAAAACCTCTGACCCTTTAAAATGTATTTTTTTTAAAAACCAAAATAATCAATGTTTTTTTTTTTTTTGAACATAACCGGTGTACACATATGAATGGCACTCTTGCTCAAATTTTGCTTGTTTTTTTATGTTTGTCATTCATCAACCACAAAAATAATGGTTATGGACAGTAATCGATAAAAAAGCTGACAGTCAAAAATGATAGTGTGTACACCGCTTAAAGTGGGTCATTTCACTCTAAAACAATTATGTTCTCATTTATTATTAATGTAATCCATCTGGCAACACTTAGCATTCACAGTCTCTGGTCTCTTCAAAAGCAAGATACAATGACTTAAGGTGAAACATAAATGAATAAGTAATAATAAAAAACAATTAAAAAGAAGAATATAAATAGAAGAATTGTAACATTCTTTATGTCTTTAATTTTTGTGTGTGTTTTTTTCATTTTGTTTTGCTGTCTATTATGATCACGTCACAAAAATACAGCACATTTATACCAATACCTACATATAAACATATATGTATGTGAGTACCCTCTCTCTTATATTAAACATCTGCTTTTGACTTACCTGCCGGGAAGAAATTGTTTAAGAACGTTGACATTTTTCAAGTATCACTTGTCTTATTATTTTTTTGTCTTTTGGCGAATTTTCTTCTTTCTTGTTGCTGCTGTTGTTGTTCTTCACGTCGTCTTTATGTGGTGTAGTGGTGTGTTTTTGTTTTTCTTTTTATTCCTGTTTTTTGCTACATTCGTTTCGTTTCGGTTTATTTTGTTTTTGTTATCTGTCTGCACACAAGACGAGACCAATATTGTGGATGCGGAAGAACGGATGGCGTGAGGGGGGATTTTACCGGTTGGTTGCTTTGCTTGATTTTCGTTCGTGCACTCGGTGAGACAGACGACGAAGAGAGAGAGGCTTGAATTGTGTTTGTAGGGGGTTTGGTTTTCTGGCTTTTGTTTTGGGGTTTCTTTTGAAAACTGTTGCAAACACAGATGTTGTTATTGCTTGTGGCTGATGGCAACAAATGTGATGACGATGCTGGTGGTGTTGATGTTGCTGCTACTGACGATGATGATAATGGGTGCTGGCCAAGTAGTGAAGTGCATTTAGTTGTGCCGCGTTGTTGCGCTTTGTTTATGTTTGGTTACAATATTCGCTGTTTGGTTGGTTGACTGTCGGATTTCTTTACGCTCCGTTTATTCAGAGCTACTTCTTGCAATTGTTGCTGGGGCTGTTTTGTTTTTGCTGTCGAGTATTGAAACGTGCAAATCTCTTAAAAAACTCTGCACATCATCGTCAGTGGTCTCCTCTGGTTACTTTTGTTTGACTGTTGTGAGTGGTGTCTATCAACGGCAACGGCACCAATAACTCATTTTAATATCGGATAGGATAACGATAACACCCCACGACACTGACACTCCAGTTAAAGTGTCTTTCGAGTACTTGGAAGAAGAGCGTAAATATGGTAGGGAGAGGCTTTGAGAAATGGACGAGAACTGCCACCGACAGATAGTTGATATGACAATAAACGCAGCAATGGTTTTTTTGTGGTGGTGATGGTTGTTGTTGTTGTTGTTATTGTTATTGCAACCGATGACGATTACAATGAGAACGAGATGATGATGTTGTTGTTGCTAACACTACTGTCTCTTGTCTTTGTGGGTTTATTTTGCTGTTTCTCCACTATCTCTTATGATTTGATTGTTTTGCCCCTTCGTCTTTCACTTGTGCACACACACATTGAAAGCAATGTCGACAGATTGGGCTCTCATTGTTGACTTGACTTTTGCTAAACACATAAACAAATGGGGGGCATGTCACTTGTATTGTTGTTTGTTTGTATTCAAATGTGTTCTCCCCCTTTTTGCACTCTCTCGGTCAACAGCTGAGCTCCATATACAACAAAAACAATTCCACGAAGAGAGTCAAAGAGTGTGGAATAGGGAATATTAAATCTCGGAGCGGAGTATGTGGAAAACAAAAATAAGCAAAAAAGAAAGTTATATAGAGGTCGTCGAAACAGATGTTTTGCCGAGGCTTCTATGTATGAGAATAAGGGTTTTCTTGTTGTTGGTGTTGCTCCTAATTTGCTTCGTCAATATGGTTTGTTCATTAGTTACTGTGCTGCTTGCATTTGTTGCCAATGGTAAAGGGAATCCTGAATAAAAATTAAAATAACACCTCTCTGTAGATAATCTCACACTTTTACAAAGTATTAGTCTGTCTCTCACTTCTCTCTCTTGTTTTTATCACAACTCTTAACACTCTCTTATGGATGGATGATAGCTCACCAACTCTTCACAATTATTAAAATGGGGGGATATTGTATTACTTTTGGATTTAATTTACTGTTACATTTTATTACTAATTTTCGTTACACCACACACATATACGCTACCGTTATCAGTCGTTTTTAATGATGAATTCTCTGTTACGCTCACCCACACTTACTCTCAATTTTGTTATGCTCACCACTGCGTTACACACATTCTTTATGGTTAGATTAATTTGTTGTAGTTGTAGTTATTATTTTTTATGTTTAGTTAATGGAAATTCGTTTTGTGATTGTTTTCAGCTGCAATTGGTCAGAGTGGAAGATGTAAACATAGAGAGCTGAAATGAAAAAGAAAGGATAAAGTAAAATGTTAATAAAAAAACATAAAGGAAAACAAACAAAAATCAAGAAACAAAGTGCATGGTTGCCATCAGGCCAGATGTTTTTAGTTTGAAAAAAAGGTTACTCTCAGAAACAGATAATTTTTCTAAAGAAAAATATGTTTTTTAAAAAATACACAGAAATATTGGTGTCCAGAGTGCAAAACTAGGATACAACCTATCCCATAGAAAAATCCCTAAGAACCAATTAATTTCTAAATGGAAAAACTCCTGAGGACGATATTTTTCTAGGTAAGAAAATCCTATTACAAAAAGGCATCAGAAAATTTGTTTCTAAAGTAAAGGTCGAATGTTTTCCTATAGAAAACCCCCTTGAGAAAAAAACTTCCATAGAAAATATCTGAGGACCGAATATTTTCGTAATGAAATAAATACTGAAGACGATATTTTTCTAGATAAAAAATGTTCTTATCTAAAGGCCTCAACATAAATTTGTTCCCATAATAAAAATGCCAAGTATAAAAAGTCCTGAGGTCCAGTTTTTGTTCAATAAAAAATCCACGGAGAACAATTTTTCTTTTATAAAAAATTCTAGATGATTCTTTAGAGAATTGAGGACAAATTTTCCATTGAAAAAATGTCCTGAAGACTGAATTTCTCCCTTGAAAAAAAAAAAAACATCCGAAGATCGATTTTTTTCTATTGTAAACTACACCTAAGGACGATAATTTCCCTAGATGAAGTTCTGAGGGCGATTTCTTTCCAAAGAAAATAAGTTCTTAATGCGATTTCTTTCTGCAGAAAAGTATCTAAGGACGAGTTTTTCTACAGAAAAACTTTTGAGGACAAAAAGGCCCTCAATAGGCCCTCAGTAAACTAGAGGATATTTTTCTATACAAACAATTTCATAATGACTATGAGGACTTTTCTATGGAGAACATTATTTCTATAGGAGAACACTCGTCATCAGGACTCTTTCTGTTGAAAAATTGGACTATTTTTTCTATTAAAAAAATTCGGAGGACATGAAAATATCAAAGAAAAAAATCCTCAGTAAACAAGAGGATATTTTTCTATAGAAACAATTTCCCAATGACCATGAGGACGTTTCTATGGAGAACATTATTTGTATAAAACAACATTATTTCATCAGGACTCTCTTTCTGTAGAAAAAATTCGCCTCTCTTTTAAGTACAAAATAATTTATAGAAGAAAATTCGGACCTCTAAACTTGTTTCTATAGAAATAATTCGGATCTTGGAAAAAACCATTAAGAAATTATATTTTCTTCAGAACCTTTTTTGATTTTCCGTAGCTTTTTCTTTAGGATAAATTATCCTCCGTCATCAGGTTATTTTTTTTATAAAAAAAAATAAAAGGATATTTTTTTATAAAAAAAATTGTCATCAGGAATTTTTTATGGAAAAAATTTTTCGAATTTTTTCTATAAAAAAATTGTTTTCATAGAATTTTTTCTATATAAAAAAATCATCTTCAGGAATTTTTTTTTTACAGAAAAAATTGTCACCAGGATAGTTTTCTATAGAAAAAAATTTTGTTTCAGAAAAAAATTTTTTTTTATTAAATCGTTTTCAGGACTTTTTTCCTAACAAAAATTGTCTATAAAAAATCGTCATCAGGATTTTTTTCTATAGAAAAAATCGTCATCAGGATTTTTTCTATAGAAAAAATCGTCATCAGGATTTTTTTCTATAGAAAAAATCGTCATCAGGAATTTTTTCTATAGAAAAAATCGTCATCAGGATTTTTTCTATAGAAAAAATAGTCATCAGAATTGTTTCTATAGAAAAAATCGTCATCAGGATTTGTTTCTATTGGAAAAAATCCCCTGGATTTTTTTATTAAATACCGTTTTCAGGACTTGTTTTCCTAAGAAAAATTGTCTATAGAAAAATCGTCATCAGGAATTTTTTCTGTAGAAAAAATGGTCATCAGGAATTTTTTTTCTATAGAAAAAATCGTCATTAGGAATTTTTTCTATAGAAAAAATCGTCATTAGGAATTTTTTCTATAGAAAAAATCGTCATTAGGAATTTTTTCTATAGAAAAAATCGTCATGAGGAATTTTTTCTATAGAAAAAATCGTCATCAGGAATTTTTTCTATAGAAAAAATCGTCATCAGGATTTGTTTCTATTGGAAAAAATCCCCTGGATTTTTTTTTATTAAATACCGTTTTCAGGACTTGTTTTCCTAACAAAAATTGTCTATAGAAAAATCGTCATCAGGAATTTTTTCTGTAGAAAAAATGGTCATCAGGAATTTTTTTTCTATAGAAAAAATCGTCATTAGGAATTTTTTCTATAGAAAAAATCGTCATTAGGAATTTTTTCTATAGAAAAAATCGTCATGAGGAATTTTTTCTATAGAAAAAATCGTCATCAGGAATTTTTTCTATAGAAAAAATCGTCATCAGGATTTGTTTCTATTGGAAAAAATCCCCTGGATTTTTTTTTATTAAATACCGTTTTCAGGACTTGTTTTCCTAAGAAAAATTGTCTATAGAAAAATCGTCATCAGGATATTTTTCAGTACAAAAAATCGTCATCAGGAATTTTTCTATAGAAAAATTTTTCATCAGAAAAAAAATGATGATAGACAATTTTCTTTTAGAAAAATCGTCATCAGAATCTTTTTTCTATGGAAAAAATCGTCATGAGGATTTTTTTCTTTAAGAAAAAATCATAATCAGGATTTTTTTTTATAGAAAAAAATCATCATCAGGAAATTCTTCTACAGAAAAAATTGTCATCAGGAATTTTTTCTATAGAAAAAAATGTTCTCAGAGTAATGACTTTTTTTTAAGAAAATAATGTCCTCAGATTCCTGAAGAATTTTTTCTATAAAAAATCGATATTTTTTCTATAGAAAAAAATTCGTCGGGACCCGTAGAAAAAATCGGCATCAGGATATTTTTTCCTATAAAAAAATCGTCATCAGGATATTTTTTTCTATAGACAAAAATCGTCATCAGGATTTGTTTCTATTGGAAAAAATCCCCTGGATTTTTTTTATTAAATACCGTTTTCAGGACTTGTTTTCCTAAGAAAAATTGTCTATAGAAAAATCGTCATCAGGAATTTTTTCTGTAGAAAAAATGGTCATCAGGAATTTTTTTTCTATAGAAAAAATCGTCATTAGGAATTTTTTCTATAGAAAAAATCGTCCTGACGGCCTCTCGATTTTTTTCTATAGAAAAAATCGTCCTCAGGATCCTGATGATTTTTTTTTCTATAGAAAAAATCGTCAGACCTCAGTTGAAGGTCTGAAGAGATTTTTTCTATAGAAAAAATCGTCATCAGGATTTGTTTCTATTGGAAAAAATCCCCTGGATTTTTTTTATTAAATACCGTTTTCAGGCCTTGTTTTCCTAAGAAAAATTGTCTATAGAAAAATCGTCATCAGGAATTTTTTCTGTAGAAAAAATGGTCATCAGGAATTTTTTTTCTATAGAAAAAATCGTCATTAGGAATTTTTTCTATAGAAAAAATCGTCATTAGGAATTTTTTCTATAGAAAAAATCGTCATGAGGAATTTTTTCTATAGAAAAAATCGTCATCAGGAATTTTTTCTATAGAAAAAATCGTCATCAGGATTTGTTTCTATTGGAAAAAATCCCCTGGATTTTTTTTATTAAATACCGTTTTCAGGACTTGTTTTCCTAAGAAAAATTGTCTATAGAAAAATCGTCATCAGGATATTTTTCAGTACAAAAAATCGTCATCAGGAATTTTTCTATAGAAAAATTTTTCATCAGAAAAAAAATGATGATAGACAATTTTCTTTTAGAAAAATCGTCATCAGAATCTTTTTTCTATGGAAAAAATCGTCATGAGGATTTTTTTCTTTAAGAAAAAATCATAATCAGGATTTTTTTTTATAGAAAAAAATCATCATCAGGAAATTCTTCTACAGAAAAAATTGTCATCAGGAATTTTTTCTATAGAAAAAAATCATCCCCAGGACTATAGAAAACAATTTCCATCAGGAAAAAAATCGTCATCAGGATTTTTTTTTAAGAAAAAATCGTCTTCAAGAATTTTTTCTATAGAAAAAATCGATATTTTTTCTATAGAAAAAAAAAAAACTTCATCAGGTTATTTTTATCTATAGAAAAAATCGTCATCAGGATATTTTTTCCTATAAAAAAATCGTCATCAGGATATTTTTTTCTATAGACAAAAATCGTCATCAGGATATTTTTTTCTATAAAAAAAATCGTCATCAGGAATTTATTCAATAAAAAAAATCGTCATCAGGAATTTTTTTTCTATAGAAAAAATCGTCATCAGGAATTTATTCAATAAAAAAAATCGTCATCAGGAATTTTTTTTCTATAGAAAAAATCGTCATCAGGAGATTTTTCTATAGAAAAAAATCTTCATCAGGATTTTTTTCTATAGAAGAAATCGTCATCAGGATTTTTTTCTATAGAAAAAAATCGTCATCATGGAATTTTTTCTATAGAAAAAATCGTCAACAAGAATTTTTTCTGTAAAAAATTTCAGTATTTTTAATAGAAAAAAAGCTACTTTTGTCTATGGGGAAAAATCGAACATCAAGACTTCTCTTCTAACTTTCTCTAGAAGAAAAAGTCAGCGTGAGGAAATCATTCGTTTTTCCATGCAAAATTTGTTCTTAAGATCTTTAAAAAAAAAAAAAAATTATTATGACTTTATTCATAGAAAAACATTTTCATCACATTTTAGCTAAAGAAAACATTTCGTCGTCAGGCATTTTTCTTGGGGAAGAAATCGCCGTCCGGAAAAAATCTCCCTTTCCTAAAAAGGGCATCAGAACTTCTTTTATAGTAGATCCTCAGTAACTTGCCCTATGAGGACAACCCTGTTAATATTAAGCAGGACATAGGGTATAACATACAATGCTTTGCCAAATAGGACACCAAATGCGATGAATATGAATAAAAGGAAGTTAAAAATCAGACAAAAGGAGAGAGAGAGTGTGGGTGAGACATATTTAAATAAGTTCTCTCTCTCCCTATCTGACAGTCTCTTAACTTGTTATGATAGACATAGAATTATAGTTGTTGTTGGTATTATTTGATTCCATGCAAATTCTTTCTTGTTATGTATTTATGTATATATTCGCTGTTGTTGTTGTAACATACTGGCTGGTTGACTGAGGGCTGTCTATCACAATGAAAACTCTGTTGGATATTTAATAAGCATGTATGTATAGGGAAGGACTAGGATATTGTTATATATGTATGAATACATGTGTGAGTATGTGTTTTGAACAAGAAATACCAAAAGTCTGACATTAGAAAAACAAATTCGTGGAAGTCAATGTTTATTTTGTTTTGTAGAAATAATAAATAATTAACTTTACATACATTTTATTTGTTGTTAAATGTAGTTGTTGTTGTTAAATTTCGATGGGTAACACTATAGTTGATTTTTCTGCCTTTCATTAAAAACTTTTTCCGTGATTATTATTTATTTCTTAATAATTTAAAATATGCTTAATTTTGCGGGGGACGATTTTAAAAGATTTATTTATTTGTATATATTTTTTTGTTTTATAATTTTAATCTTTTATTTAAAAAAGTTTAAAAAAATATGCACACATATTGCTGCTGTAATAATAAGAAAAAAAAAACAAAACATAAAATTACTTTTTTTTAAATAATAATTATTTATGTTAAATATTATTTTTTGTTTTATAATAATTATTTATGTCAAATAATGGCAAGTTACACTTATGTTTTTTGTTTATTATCTTGTTATTGTTTTCACATAAATCACAACTGAAATGTCCGTCAGTCCTTCTGTTTTGTTGAAATAAATGCAAAAAATTTTCTATTTCTTTTTTTCCTTCACCATTACTTCTGCAACAAACCAATTAATTCACTATTTACAACAACAAAAACACTTAACTATTTTGATTTTCTTTTAGTCGGTTGTTGTTGGGCTAATGACGCGCGTATTTAGGAGCTATGTGCATTTTTGTTCCACCGCCACCAACAACATTCTCCTGTCAGGTATCCAACGAAACTAACAACAAAGACTTCTTTTGACATTCCCGAAGTTTGGTATTCTCTGGTGTAGCTACTCTCCTTAATTCTTTTCTGCAAACTCAAAAGAGAAACATAAACAAGAAAGAATAGGAATTGCGGAAAATAATAAAAATGAAGTAAATTCCAATAGAAGCAAATAACAACAGAGATGGATAAGCAGAAGTCCTGTCTTGCTGAGGGTCAGCGGATGAAAACCAACCTGAGGCAGAGAAAATAATCATGAAGACATTTTTTATAAAACAAAAACAAATCGCATTCCAAAAATATATTGAAAAAATTCGTCAGTATGATTTTTTTCTATGGAAAACAATTTTTCTTACCCTAATAATGGGGATATTTTTTTTATTGGGGGACATACCTGGTTATTTGACCCGGAAGTTCGGATACCCGTAACTGGTTATACCCGGTTTTACGGATCCGGTTAATATAAAATGGGTATCATTTAAAATACTGTTTTGTAGATACAGTCAAAAACTGGATTTTAAACCCCGATTTTTTTTTTGAAAAACTACCTAAAGGACGAACTTCGGTCCATTATGGTCCTCTCCAGTCCTTTCTCAAAAGATAGAATACAATTTGCCTTTTCCAAAATGGTGCCATATGTGGCTATATCTGTTGTGGATCAATATATATGGATCTTAGAATCCAAGTTCGACTTTTAGGGAGTTAAAAAAAATCGGGGTCAATAAAAATTCATCAGTAGGACATTTTTATACCCTTCACCACACTGTGGTACAGGGTATTATGTCTTTGTGCATATGTTCGTAACAGGTAAAAGGAAACGAGATAGACACATGGTTCTTTTTGAGAATATGTATAGAATCACTTTCTAAGTCGATTTATGCATGTCCGCAGTCCGTCCGTCTGTCCATGTTAAATTGTAAACAAAGTACAGGTCGTATTAATTATTCGAATTGGATGAAACTTGGCACAGCTCATTCATTTGGCCCAAGGACGAACCCTATTGAAATTGGGAAAAATCGGTTCAAATTTTGATATGTCTCCCATATATATTTTCGTCCGATTTAAGGTAAATAGTGGACCAAAGTCCCTAGATACCTTTCAATTTGCACGAAATTTGGCACAGCATACTGAATTCAGCCTAGTATGATGTGTGCTAAATTTCGTGAAAATCCGTTCAGATTTAGATATAGCTCCCATATATATTCAACCGATTTAAGGTAAATGGTGGACCAAATCCCTAAATATCTTTCAATTTTCACGAAATTTGGCACAACGTACTGGCATAAGCCTAGAATGATGTGTACTAAGTTTCCTGAAAATCGGTTCAGATTTAAATATAGCTCCCATATATATTTTCGTCCGATTTAATGTAAATGGTGTACCAAAGTCCCTATATATCTTTCGATTTGCACGAAATTTGGTATAGCGTAATGAATGATGTGTGTTTAGTTTCTTGAATGATCTAAGTTTAAGGATTCAAACTCTATCGATTCACCCACAATTCAAATTGTACCAAATTTAGTACACAGTAGTACGAATTTTCAAAACTTCATACATACCCCAATCCTACACCACTACAGTGATCCTAAATATAAGTTTCAGGATTCCAACTCTATTGGTTCACACACAATTCAAATTGTACCAAATTTAGTACACAGTAGTACTTATATCCAAAACTTCCTACTTAACCCAAACCAATACCCCAACAGTGATCCTAAATCCAAGTTTCGGGATTCTAACTCTATTGGTTCACCCACAATTAAAATTGTACCAAATTTAGTACACAGTAGTACTTATTTCCAAAACCTCCTTCCTACCCCCAAACCTACACACCAATAGTGATCCTAAATCCAAGTTTCAGGATTCCAACGCTATCGATTTACCCACAATTCAAATTTTATCAAATTTACTACACAGTAGTACCAATTTCGAAAATTTCCTACATACCCCAATCCTATTATACCTCTCTCCAGTGATCCTAAATCAAAATTTCATGATTTCAACTCTATCGCTTCACCCACAATTTAAATTGTACCAAATTTGGTACACATTAGTACAAATTCGAAAACTTCCTACATATTTCAATCTTACACCTCAACAGTGAGCCTGACTCCAAATTTCGTGATTATAGATCTATTGGTTCACATAAAATTCCAATTGTAATAAATTTAGTACCATTTAGTACCCAATAAGTATTAATTTGTTAAACAGAATCCTGACCCTAATTCTACACCCCTACAATGATCCTAACTCCAAATTTCATTGTTTCCTCTCTATCGGTTCACCCAATTACAAATTGTACCAATTATAGTACGATTTAGTACTTTTCATACACATATGTAAACATTTTTCAAAACTACGTACATATATCAATCCAAAACCCCGATGGTAATGTTAATTTCAAATTTTAGGATTCCAGCTCGATTTCGGGGGTATTAAATTTGTACCAAATGTAGTACCATGTAGTACTTTTCGTACACGTGAGTACACGCTTTCAAAACCATTTCCTTAATTTGCATTCCAAATTTCAAGTCCAAATTACTTTTGGCATACTTATAGTTCGAATGTCAAAAAAACCCTTTGGTACATCAATCCTACACTTTATCAATTACACTCAATTTAAATTTCAGAGCTCTAGCTCTACCGGTTCGCCAAATACAAATGGTTTCACATTTAGTACTTTTCGTACCGTTTTAGTACGAATTTCCAAAAACCCAGCCTCATCTGTCACCTTTGGACCAAGAGTGACCCTCACCCAAAATTTCAAGATTCTAGCTTTAGCCGTTTCATCTGGGCGTTGATGAATCGTTGAATCAGTCAGTCAATCACTTATTAGCATATATATTATTAATATTAATTTTCCATCTCTGGCTATGAACTGATGACTTGATGTATTCTTTTCTACTTTGTTGTTTACTCCAACCCTCACACAACACACAAGCATTGCAAAACATATTGGGGAGGATCAGGATGTAAAACATAACCAGAAATTATGTTGTGTCTGGAATTGTTTTTGGTTGACTTTGTTTTGGTTTATGTCAAATATGCATGTATATGTGGAACACATTGCACAGTGGTCGAAATATCTTACATAGTGTTTGTTTGAAAATGCGCGAAACCTTGAGATGCGCCTTCAAAATGCTTAAAATCGTTCAGTATCCCTATGGAGGTGTTATGATAATATATATATATATATATATATACAAGGACACACACACACAGGTTATAAGACATGCAATTTTATTGCAACATTTCTGCGAGGAGTTTTTTTTGCCCACCATAAACCCGGAAGGAGAAATTACAGACACTTTGTTTGGAAATGCAGAAAAAAACCTTCAAACATCCTATGGATTTAATTCTAGTAGCGTAAGGGAGATTTGTTAATAATGGATATACCGAAAAAAATATTATTCCAAATATATTTTTTTTGGTTTTCAATATCACCTATTCAAGTTATTCAATTGTTGTCTCTGTACCACTGCACAAGAGGAGAAAACGTGACAGTATAACAGAGAAGTCATTAATGACGTTTTAGTTTAATAATAACAACAACAACGAAACCTTCTCCCCTTCAATATCTACGTCACAAACTATTGAGAACCCGAGTAATGGAACCCGAGTATTGCGAAAAAAGTAATGATTGAAATTTCCATGGGAGCCATTTCTTGATGACAACAGCAACAACAATAAAAAAGGTAATCTACTCTCAGAAAGATATCAGCAAAAGCACCAAAATAATTGGAGAGAGAAATGACGACTCTCTTGTCATTCCAATACAAAAGGCTCACACAGTGCAAGGAATGTGCAAAAAAATCTGTAATGATAGACGAACATAAACGACAATGAGAGAGTATGATGAAAACAATAAATTGATGTCAGGGAAGAGAGAGATTTGCAAAAAAAAAATCATAACAAATAAAAAAATAAATATATTCTAAAACGTTGCGTTGTCGATGGGTGTGTATGTGTCAATGGGTTTTCAGTTGTTTCAATTGATTGTGCATGAGAGTACGCGTGCGGGGTTTTGCCTGATGTGGCAATAAATTGTTGTCAGGGAAGAGAGAGAGCTGAAAAAAAATCATAACAAATTAAAAAAATAAATAAATATATTCTAAATTTTAAAGGTATTGAGAATTTGTTGGCGAGGGCCAATTGTCGATACCTCCTATTTTGTGTGATATTCCAGAGAGGGGATATTAGCCCATGGGAAGATATTCAACAGACATAAGGGCAAGTGAATCGTGTGTGTTTGCTGAGTGTTTGTGTGAAATATAAGGAGGGAAAAAATTAATGTATGTAGAATTAAAAAAATAAAAAAAAAAAAACAAACAAAAAAAGAATAGAAATACCTGAAGCGGAGTTCCGTTTCACATCAATTTGCTGTTGCCTAAACATTTTTTTTTTTGGCTTGAGGGGTAAATTATAATTTTCTGGAACAGGAATTTGCGGCAGAGCTAGATACCTATTAAATTAAATGTCCCAATTATGATCGAAACATCATGGAAATTTATACAAGAGAGAAGTTATTGGCAAAGAATAGGCAATGGATAATTGGATGATAGGTCAGTAGTTAGAAGTTGGAAGAAGTGTTTGCCTTCAGTTCAACTTTCAATTCCTAGTAAGAGTAATACACCTATGTCTGTCTTTACTCGGTAGACTGGTTCCAGACTATATATTTGAAATATATAGTTCTGTATGGGGGCCCGAGCTGCCCGTTTAGCTGAAATTTTACATTCTTCATTATAAACCATCATATAACTTTCTATATCAAAAAAAAAAAAAAAGTAAAACTCTGAATATGAAGATGTTTTCTCAAATAAAATTTGTATATCCTTATTTTTATTTCTGTAAATATTACAAGCCAAAGAAACGACTATACACCGTATACAAAGCACTGGTAATTTCATAGCGCCTATGTTAATTGTTTGAACTCAAGCCCTCTTCCAAATACTTGGTGCTAAAAGACCGCACTCAATGGCCATCAAACCATACCTTCACAACAAAGAAGGTAGATAGGCAGGTATGATTTCGAACGTCAGGTGATATTATATTACACGGGCTACTACTAGCTAGGCAGCTGTTGTATATGATTTCTTCGTCTTCCCTTTTGTGTGTACACATTGCAACACTCACACAAAGTTGTATATATTTTTAATTTTTAAAGTGTTTTTGTTGATCCAAGCAACCATACAGAATTCCTCAAACTTGATTGACTTGAGTTGCGAGAGTTGTTTGTGTCGGTTTTTGGTTGCATGGGTCATTGTTTGAAACTCTCAGAACAAAACAATTCAATACTTATTGTCAAATATCCAATAAATCCTACAGGTACATACAGGCAGACATATTGTTTGGTAAACATGACTTGAGGTACATACAATACACAAAGCCCGTGAGAGAGATAGAGAGGATGCGAGAGTGTGAAGAGATGGCAGCAACATAAGAACAACAAACAAACCATTTCATCAACAAAACACAACAGCTGCAAAACGAGACGCCAGTCATGTTTGCATTTTATTCTGTGCATGTTTGTTCATAGGTATGTATGTATGGAAGGAAGTGTGTGTTCGTTTGATCCCCTTGTTGCCAATGCACAACACAGCAAAACAATAATAAACCATAAAAAAGCAGAGGGATAAAGGAAATTGCAGAAGAAGTGAAATATAGGAACACACAACACATATGAACGAGTTATGGGTAAAATAAAAACAAAACATTACACAGAGGGAGAGAGAGAGAGTGTGTGAAAGAGGAGATTGTTCCTGTATAACAGTGTGGCCATTGTGGTGTTTTTGGTTAGTTGTAATGATTTTCAGTTATATTGATTTTATTTCGTTGCTATATAGATTAAAAGGAAATATATGACACAAATTGGGTTCATTTTGTCTATATGGTTTGATAATTTTATTCATAAACTACTACACTAAAATGAACGATTAGAAAATAACATATTTTTATGCAATAAAATACCATAAACTGGTCTATCTGGTTTGATAATTTTATTCGAACATATCATAAAATACTACATTAAAATGGCCGATTAGAAAATGACATGTTGTATGCAGTGAAATACCATAAAAAGGGAACCAGCTGATGGTTCCCGCAGAAGGGGAAGGCCACGAATAAAATGGAAAGATCAAGTGGAAAACAACATTGCCGAATATGATATTTCAAACAGGAAAAACTATGCAAAGGACCAACGCGCCTGGAAATACATAAGCCAGGCTTATGGATGAAAGCTCTGTCGCAAGTAAGTTAATTAAGAAAGAAATACCATAAGCAAGGAACATTTACAGAAAATATTGGAGATTACATCCAAAATCGTTTACTGTATCCATCGTTTATAACGACATATCATAAAACCCAACACACTAAATATCGCTTTGATAATCATTAAAAAAAAAAGTATGTATAAATAAATAAGTGCGGGATAAGTAATAGTATATGGGCAGATATCAAAACATGGATATGTATGTTCAAAATATAAAAGCTATATCTGTAACAATGCAGACGGGCGGCCAAAAAGTACATAAAATATTTTTATCATAAAGGAAAATCACACTTTATGGGGTTATTTCAGTCCAATTTTAGGATAGATTCCCAAACACCCCAATATTTCGTAGTTTCAGATTTTTGGGTTTATTTTAAACCAAATTGGCTGTAATTTGGCATTTTGTCGATAATTACACGAATTTCCGGTTAGCCCCCATAATTGTTTCTAATTTGATATTAGGGATTCTCGCTGAATTTTGATACAATACAACTTGGGATATGCTTTTGAGGAGGAAATCAAATTGCAGTCTAATCCTTATCCTTATTGCTAAAAATTTAATTAATTACATTTTTGTAGAATGCGTTTTTTAATCCAGTAAAACAAAGCTTGGAATTATTTGGAGCTCTTTTAAGAATTAACGCGATATTATTGCAGAACAACTTTAACGGCATGTACACTAGAACTTTTTCACCGGGTAACCTACTTTATGTGGATTTATTTGACATATATGCAAAGGAAATGACAATTGAAACCCACTGGGTTAACGAAATCCGGATAAATGTAAACGTACTATTATGATATGAATTCTAAAAACTGGTAAAACTTTTCAAATTTGTAAAGTTAAATTCGAAATTATGTCTTGCGGGATTTGAAACAGAGTTAATATTGAAAATATGGCACATTTTTGGGAGAGGTACTAGAAATAGTGGTCCCATTTTCGGACATGGTCTGGGCATGGACAGCCCTTCACGTAGTATTAAATCTCGATCATTTGTGGGGGAGATACTATAATAGTGGACCATCTTCGGACTTGATCTAGGCATGGTAAATATAATAAGTTGTGCAAATTTTGGTTCAAACCGGACATTCCATTCTACCACTATTGATTTATAAATATTGAAAATTTTGACCAGCAGGAATGAACCAATGAGCACCATCTTCGGATTTCATCTATGCATGGTAAAGATAATAGGTTGTACAAAATTTGCTTAAAATTGGACAATCCGTCCGCATATTATAAATTTTTGCACAACTGTGGACTGATATTCCCCATCTTCGAACTTGAACTAAGATTGGAAGAAATATTACGATGTGCAGAGTTGGAATGAAATCGGTTACTTCCTTCGAGAGTTATCATGCGCACCAGCCGGCCAGACAGACATTTGTAAATCGACTCCAAATTGTGTGAAATGGGTTTGTTCAAAAGAAAGATGTGGTCTAAAACCAATATTTCGATGAGACTGTCTTTTTTGGTATAGCTCCAATATAACATCACCAACACATTTTTTTGGCATTTTGAAAGCTTGACCCGTATTTTTCCACACCTAAGGGAAGTCACCGATTGTCAGTATTTCGATGGATTTAGTCCCATTTTCCCACTGTTGTGGCTGTAATTTGACTTACCGTGATTTTGGAGGTTAAACCCTAAAGGTCCACCCCATTTTCTGTATTATTAAAATTACAACAGAATTATTATTGTGATAAACCGCCTACTCCATATTCGTTCTTGAGCGTTTTTACAAGTCCCCATTGTATATTTATTTTGCAAATTTACCAACCTTTTTCAAAAATAGCGTTTTTTGTTTACATTAAAATGTTGACAACACTTTCATCTACTCAACTCAAACCAATAAAAGGGAGAGACAAATTAACACAACAACAAAACTATAACGGTAAACAAATAAAATAGACAACTCTCAGGGGGGTCATTTAGCGAAAATCAAATTAGAATTGTCGCGGACAGACAGCCAGTCGAATGAAGTGCAAAAAAAAGAAATACAAAATAAATAAATTAAAAACTAAAAATTGCTTCTTCTTTACTTCGTGTCAAATGGAGTTTATTTTGTGTGTCGTTTAAATAGAAAAATTTCAAAGTAGAACATAAAATGAAAAACTGGTATGACAACATGTCAAAAAAGTGTTTGTGAGTTTGCTTGTGCGTTGTTGTTGTTGTTTGTGGCAAACAACAAGATCGTTTCCAAAACATAAACTTAAGGCGATTGATGGCGACGGTCTTGGTGGGGCGGAAAATGTGAAGCAGCAAAATAATCTAAGACGCAATACACAATGGACAAATTTGGAAAAGCTAGCTGGCACACACACACACATACAGAAACATGAGCTAAAATTGTACACAGAATAATGGAGTTTAGAAAAAATTCCAACTTGAAAATAAAAACAGCGCAATGGTAAGTGTTTTCTTTTTATTTCACGTTGCCTTTTCAGTTGTTGATACGAATTTCTAGATTTTTCACACATAAACACTGGCTTGGCTTAACGAACGAAGACCAAAACAAGCCAGACAAGCAGCAGCCTGCCTGCCATCGCGATGAAGAAAAATTGCCGCAAAGTAAAAAAATAATAACAACGAATAAAATGGCACTGATGTAAAAGAAGGGGGGGGGGGGGTCGGTAAAATAAAATTGCAGAAATTTCGTTTCTTTTAATTCCCATTTCTCTGTAAAACAAAAAATATATACTTCTGTTGTTTCTTATTTTTATTATTCACATTCCATGTCAAAACATTATTTTGCATTTATTTCACATTGAAGGCAATCTTGTTTTTTTTTTTTTGCATTTATGTAAAACTTTTCACAAATCATTTTTCTTCATCAATTTAACTTTTTCGTCTTCTTTTTTATTTTGTATGCTTCTTTTCGGTATATGTATGTAGATTTTTTTTCTTGTTTCTGGCGTTATGCTTTACACCTCTAATCGACATTTTGTGCCTGCAATTTCATTTTCTTTTTCAATATCACTTCACAAGAATTCTTGCTTTTGCACCCTTTCATGGACTATAAACATATTCTTTAAAAATTTATTTAACAACAAAACAACACACACACACAAAACTACATATATATTTCCAAGTAATTTAACTACAATTTTATTAATTTTTGTTGGATATTTACTTCGTTTTATGTTGTTTTTGCATAAAAAATCGCGCTTGGCGTCTACAACAGCTGTAAACTTTTGTAAAACTGTAATAGAGAGAGATTTGTGTCGACGAGTTTCGATAAAACGATTAATCGATTAATTTGTTTTTTGGTTTGTTTGCAAAACAATTGTCGATTTTTACTATCGCTGTAAAGCCGCTGACTTTAAACTCTGAACGGCGTCAGGTTGTGGTGGTAGTGTTTGACTTGGATGCAATATCTTGTATAGAATTAAATACAAAGAGGAATATGAGAGTATGTTTATCATGAGGGCGTAATTACACAGAAAACAATTAGGTAGGTTCTTATGTACACAAATGTGTGGTATACTTTTAGGCATTAGTTTTCTTTTTAAATCGTAATGTTGACAATGGAATTATTTTCTTTGTATTTTTAAAGAATTTATGTAAATTTCTTAACGAATAATTAAAAAATCCGCATATGATCTTGGTATTTTCCACAGTACATACAGTGGTCGGTATATGCATTTAGACTAAATAAAAAAAAAAAAAAAAAAAAAAAAATTGACACCGAGAATGGGGGGTCCCCTTAACCCAAAAAATATTCTATTTAAAAATGTGATTCATTCGCGTAACCGGTGTTGGTATCTGTCCATAGGACACATTTCCAAATCCCCGGCCAACCACAAAAGATACTGCCACATATCGCACCATTTGGAAAGAGCAAATTGTAGTCTATTATTTCAGTCAGGATAAGTGAGGGACTATCATGGACTCTAGTTTGGGCTTATAGGGAGTTTTTTTTCAAATAAATCGGGGTCCAAAAACCAATTGTTTGACTGTTTCTCCCAAAAAAATTTTCAAAAACTTCTGATGGATTTAACTAAACTAGAGTTGTTTCCAGATCGTATTTTGAGTGACGACCTCATGGTGGATACGTTTTTAAGTTTTGAGAATACGTTTTGATAATTTGTCTTTTATCTTTACTATAAATAAACGGTACCGATTTTTATACCGATTTTTTTGTTTTTCCGTTTGTAACTTATCGAAATAATCATCAGTAAAATTCTATGACGATATAGCCATGTCCGTCTGTCTGTTGTAATCACTCTAGCGACTAAACGAATTGAGATAGATCGCCAAAATATTGCATAGAGTCGTTTTTTGTCTGCAGGCAGGTCAAGTTCGAAGATGGGCTTTATCGGTCCACGAAATTTGGCATAGCTCCCATATAAGGGTACCCTATTGAAATTGGGACGTACGTCAGCATAGCAATATGCTTTCATATATACCTGCTCGGGTGTTTAAATGGGACGATCATCCTAACCATCAAAATTTGGCACAACGTATTGAATTAAGACTAGAATTTTGTGTATTAAGTTTGTTGAAAAGTTTGTGTCATATATATTTGCATGATCTAGAGAGAGAGGTCCAATGATACTATATATCTCTAGATGCAAGTGAAATATCGAGCAGGTCTGAATGGCATTCATACAGATGCAGTAGCCGCAACGCTGAATGGTTACAAAGTGAATGCCGTCCTCGGAGCTCACCCCCACCCATTGCAGCTGAGGAACGTCAGCTGCCCAGACAAACCAGAGTAGTTTTGGCTCAGTTACGTTCTGGATGGACTGCACCAATTCGTATTGGGCACGGATTGATGATCAGGTGCGGGATGTCTGCCCAGCATGTGGTACAGGCCCTCATACCACACTGCACTTGTTCAATTGCCCAGCCAAATCTACTCACCTTACTCCGGAGGATCTGTGGTTACAGCCAGTGGAGGTAGCTGCATTTCTAAATCTGGAGACAGAACTGGAGGAAACTTAACAGGAAATATACAATTCATATAAACTGCTACAACAACAACATAAGGGTACCCCCAAATTTTCGGTATTTTGGGGTTCTTGAGCGCGTTTTTCAAACATATTCGCTGAAATTTGCTACATTGGGTTCGTATTGGGTACTAAATGTCTCCACAAAAATTATAAATATAGGTCCATATTTTGGGATTGCCCCCATATAAGGGTATCCCCAATTTTGCGGTATTTTGGTGGGTTTGATCGCATCTCTCTATACAAAAAATTATAAATATAGGTAAATTTTTATATAGGTACCCCATATAAGGGTATCCCCCAATGTTCGGTATTTTGAGGTTCTTGAGCGCGGTTTTCAACCGAATTCGCTAAAATTTGGTACATTGGGTTCTTATTGGGGACCAAATGTCCCCATTAAAAATTATAAATATAGGTCCACTTTTTCTGGTAGCCCCCATATAACCCCATTTTTATATTAAAATAATTATCTGATTTGTTCCGTGTGTTACCGGATTTTTCACCGAATTGGCTGTAATTTAGTAATTTTTATTGGGTAGCAAATCTCTCCACAAAAATCTATAAATAAAGGTCAATTTTTTCGGGTAGCCCCCATATAAGGGTACTTGCAATTTTCGATATTTTCAGGTTCTTGAGCGCGTTTTTCAACCGAATTCACTGAAATTTGGTATTTTGTAAACGTAATTAAAATATTGGGTTCAAAATTATTAATATTCACCCATTAATTAGGCATAGCCCTCATATAATATATCCCAAATTTTTATATTTAAAATAGTTATCTGATTTGTTCCGTGTGTACCCTTTGTAATCTAAATTACAGTAGATGAGGATTGAACTGATTTATTTTCAATATAATTTATTAAAAAAAATCAATAAATTTTGTATGTCATCATCATCATTCACACTCCCTCAAATAAAAATGTCAATGGAAGATATCTCAACATTTTATCCAAATACTCGATCATCACCACTTGGACACCTTGTTGTATAGCTGGGCGTATTACTTCAAAAATTGTATGCCAACTTTCATTTATAAGAATGTGGGCACTCTCCTCCAGGGCCGCATCGCCATTGAAAAGATTATCCAAGTGTATTTGCAAACTGCCAATATCTTGCCACACCAACTGGACATTTTCCAGCTTACCAAATTTGTTATCATTTTCATCGAGTATTTTAATACGGAAGGACAAATATAGAAGAGCATTTTCTGAAAAAAATATTCAATACAACGTATATGTGTATATGTTTACCACCTTAAGTAATATTTAATTACTAATCTTTATATCAGCTTTGCCTTTAGTATTTAAAGCCAAACTCAACAGGTTTCCAGGAGCTGCATAGTCACTTGTCATGTTAAATGCCGGCACATCTAATTTATATTTAAATGTCAGATTTGGTCCATAATGGCTAAAAATTCATTGTTACATTATTTGTATAATTTATTGTATTTAAATGTATTTATTTTCATGCTTACGCAACATCAATCACTTTTGTTTTGGACAAACCAAATATTGCAAGATTTTTCAAGGTCATATTTATGGCGATTGGCCCACCTGGTTGTTGTCTAAAGGACATACGTTTAATATGCACCGGATCAAGGGAACCATATGATTTATAACCAGGAACACCTAGAAAGTCAATAAAAGATTATTCAAATGGGGGAAAAAATTAGCAGTTGCTTCTAACATGGAAATATATCTTCCTGGAGATGTAAATGTTGGGTTATTCATTTCGTGGTTTCAAAAGTAAACGAAAAATATATCAATTTTCGACCATATCAAGCTTCGGACCAAAGAGCGCTCCAAGCTGTGCCATTTTATGGATGTATTGACCTCTCTTCAAGTACTTGATCATTCTCAGAACATCGAAGACGACAAATTCATAAAACAGTACACTTATAGTGCCTCGGATGATTATACCCTCAACCTGATGACGAATGAGGATATCCGTTTTCAGACAATTGGGAGTCGATTTACAAGTGCCCCCTTTTTATACCCTCAGCCATATAGTTAATTAGGGTACATACACTTTGATACGGCGAAAATGTGCCTCATCGAAATGTTGGTTTTAGACCCCGTGTTTCTTTGAACCAAATCATTTTCAGAAAATTTTATATATAGCTCCCATATATATTTTCGTCCGATTTAAGGTAAATGGTGTACCAAAGTTCCTATATATCTTTCGATTTGCACGAAATTTGGCATAGCCTACTAAATTAAGTCTAGAATGATTTGTGCAAAGTTTCGTGAAAATCGGTTCAGATTTAGATATAGTTCCCATATATAGTTTCGCCCGATTTTACGTAAATAGTCCACTAAAGTCCCTATATATCTTTCGATTTGCACGAAATTTGGCACAGCTTAATGAATAAGGTTTATAATGATGTGTGTTAAGTTTCGTGAAAATCGGTTCAGATTTAGATATAGCTCCCATATATACTAAAGTCCCTATATATCATTCGATTTCCACGAAATTTGGCACAGCTTAATGAATAAGGTTTATAATGATGTATGTTAAGTTTCGTGAAAATCGGTTCAGATTTATATATAGCTCCCATATATATCTTCGTCCGATTTGAAGTAAATGGTGTAGCAAAGTCCATATATATTTTTCGATTCGATTATTTTCTAGACTCCAAAGTCTCTGAAAATTATTCGATTGGCAAACAATTTGTCATAGCGTACTGAATTAAGTCTAGAATCACTTTTGCTAAGTTTCGTGAAAATCGTTCAGATTTAGATGTAGCTCCCATATATATTTTCGCCCGATTTTTTGTAACTGGTGCACCAAAGTCCCTATATATCTTTCGATTTGCATGAATTTAGTCTAAAATGATGTTGCTAAGCTTCGTGAAAAGTTCCATAACTAGGCCGATTGACACACCGTACTGAAGTAATATAGTCTCTGGCAAGTTCCTCTGAAATCGGTTCAGATATAAATATATAACAAACACGCGATGTCTGTTAGTATACATATGTAGAATATACCCAAAGTGGTGAAGGGTATCATATAGTCGGCCCAGTCCGACTTTACTACTTTCCTTACTGGTGAAGATTTACAAATGCCCGTCCGTCTGTCTGGCCGGCTGGTGCGCACGATAACTCTCGAAGTGAATAGTCAATTTCATTCAAACTTTGAACATCTTAATATTGAAAAAAAATAATTTTATATCATGTGAAAGGACTATTCGATTTGAACCAAAATTAAATATTTTATTCTTCCAAACATAGTTCCTACGAAAAATTATTAATATTGGTCCATTGTCCTCATATAACGGTACCTCCCGAATTTCAATATTTTGAGAAATTTGGGCACATTTTTCAACCGAATTGGCTTTAAGTTGGTAATATGCCTTCTTATTGGTTAACACATCTTTCTACCAAAAATGATTAATATTGGTCCAGTTTTTACGATAGCCCCCATATAACGGTACATTCCAAATTTCGATATTTTGGGCAGTGTTTTCACTTTTGTTAACCATATTGGCTGTAATTTGGTATTTTGGGTTTTCATTGGTTAACACATCTTCCTAGCTAAAATTTTTAATATTGGTCCACATTTTACGATAGCCCCCATTTTACGCTTCCACCCAAATTTCGGTATTTTGGGGTGTTTGGGCACATTTTTCAAATGAATTGACTGTAATTTGGTATTTTGGATTCTCATTAATTAACACATCTTCACACCAAAAATTTTTAATATTGGTCCACTTTTTACGACAGTCCCCATATAGCGGCACCTCCCGAATTTCAGTATTTCAGTTAGTTCTGACACATTTTCAATCGAATTGACTGTAATTCCTTCCTACCAACAATTTTTAATATTGGTCCACATTTTACGATATTCCCCATATATAAGGGTACCTACCAATGTTCGGTATTTTTAAGGAGTTTGGGGACATTTTTAAACTGAATTGGCTGTAATTTGGTATTTTGGATTCCCATTACTTAACACATCTTTATACCAAAAATGATTAATATTGGTCCACTTTTTACGATAGACCCCATATAACGGTACCTTCCAAATGTCGGTATTTTGGCAGTTTTGGTAATTTTGTTATGCCGAAATCACTGTAATTTGCTATTTTGAATTCAAATATCGTAGGAAATCCTCGTTCACTTTTAACGGTACCGGTTTTTAATCGGAATTTTGTGGATTATGGGCCCGTTTTTTACGCGAATTTGCTGTATTTTCGTCTCATCGTGTGCACAATCTTCTACCACGTTATATTAGGTTGGGGAAAATCCATTATTTTTATATGAACTATAGGACTTTATTTAACATGCTTCGAAAAGTCCGATTTGTTGTCATTTTAAAGATAACGTCATAATGCGTCTCGCATAGAAGTGCTGCTCTCTATTTGCAAAAAATCTCTAATAGTCGATTTTCACAATCCTCCATAGATACCAATTTTTTGTCATTAATGAAATTTTGCAATGCAAGAAAAATATGATAATCGATTGGTCCGGACTGGATGTCGGATGCATTAAAACTTCCCAACCAAGCTGCCGAAGTTTCTGGCGAGTCACTGTAGATGTGTGTGGCCTAGCGTTGTCCTGCTGGAACACGACAACATTCCGCTTGGCCAATTATGGCCGTTTCTGGTCAATTGTAAATGGTTAAAAAAAGTTTTATGGTCGATTTTAAGCTCCTGGGCGATGATACGACTGCTAACATGCCCGTCAACTCCGATTTTATCGACATTTTTGACGTCAAAAACTCCTGAACGGAATCTACGAAACAAAACACCATTCACAATTCTAGTCGCTTGGCTTTCATTGTCGTCTTTGTTAAAAAGAAAAACTGTAAAATGCACCGAATTTTCTCTTTGTTCACTTCCATTTTTAAAACCCTGTAACTGACGACTGAATGCACCAAACAAAGAACAGCTAAATATTTTCTTTTTTACTCCTCACTGAAACATCGGAATCCGAAAATTCCAACGGTGATAGAAAGAGTACATGTCTGGCTCTCGTATGAAGTAGGATTATTGACTTCGCTCTAAAATTAACAAAATGGCGGACATTTGAAAAAATATTTTTGAAAATCGCCGATTTTTGATTAAAAAACCAAGTTAAAAAATAAGGAAGATCTTCACCGATTGGCTTTATCCTAGTTCATACGATAGCTATACACTCACCGAGAAACGTGTAAAAATTTGGAATCGATTGGATTATTAGTTTTTGAATTATCGTGCCCGCCATTCGCAAAAGAAAAAAGCGCGTTTAAAGTTTGAAAAGCCCTTTAGCCGTCACTTGATGCTGACACAATAAATCGGCTATATCTTCAAGAGTTCTTGAGATTTTCACTTGAAATTTTGTGTGAAAAATGACAAAATTTGTATTCTATGGCATATATAGATCAAAAAACATTTTGACCCCGAGAAGTTGATAGTATATCCAAGAGGAGTGGTTGCCACTTAATTCCTACCCATTTTTTTTTTGAGTACTTATTATGGTTTTCAGTAGTAGAATCTTCCTTTTATTCACTAATTGGAAGGACTCCCTGTAGTATATCTTTTATATATTAGCTGTTTACTTCTTAATATACCTCACAGTCCTCGCCGCGTTCTTGCTGCAGGAGTAATATAAGGGTCGCTATCTTACTACGAATTTCTTGGGTATCAATGGTTATGTATTTTTAAAGGCCAGACAATCCTATTAAGGTCCCTCCTAGTTTACTAATCCTCAAGTTCGAATATTTATAAAGGTTGGTATTGCACCCGTCACACTGACTATAATCTTTCTCTTATCCACTTGTTTTTCAATTCTCACCTGCTCTCCATTGATAAAATATGGTCTCAACATTTCCGCCAAAACAAGAACCAACATCACTAGCCGTCACTGGACAGGTCTTAATAAAATCAGCTGCAATATATGAAATTAATTTAACGACTGTTCTAATTTTCTTTTTTACTTCAATTTTTTTTTTTGCTTCTAACGTTTTTCTTTTAAAACTTTTCGCTCCTTTGCCAGTGTGGTTGTCCCCATAAAAATATTGAAAAACAAATAAACCGCTTCATGTTGTTAGTATTGTGTTTCTTTATTCGATCCGTATTAATGAACTGTTACCGGGCTACTGAAGTTAATATTTGACGAGTATTAAGTTTTGTTTTAATATCTGTTTTCATTTACAATATGTTTGAAGAGCAACAATTTAGATATAGAATTAATTGAGAATGCTGACTGTGTGTGTTTTGCTGCATCTGGTTATCTGATTGTTTAAAGGTGTCTCTATAGTCAAAGGTTGGTCGGTTAGTTAGTGTAATTATAGTGATTTGTAAATGTGGGATCTTAATCGATTATATCGATTCGAATTGAAAATTCTATAGTGTTCAGCAATATTTTTAAGGACAAATATATTTTCAGACTATTCTCTGTAGTGATTTCAACACCTAATGGGAACTCAATATATCAACTTACAGAAAATGGGGGCTAACCTCAAAAGCGGACAGATATCGATAATTTCTGGAACTGAGAAAGAGAATTCAAAATACTAAGCTATAGCTAATATCGTAAAAAAACACATGTCTAGATCAACTCAGCTAGTCGAGATATGACGATCGGTATGCTTAAAGGTGGGTCAGGACCAATATTTCGCGGCGTTACAAACCCTTGGCGCTACACAAAGCTATAATACCCTGACAACATAGTTTTGTAGGGTATTAAAATTATTTTGATGTTTTTTTTGTTTGGTTCATTCAGTTGTGAGTTACAGATTGTTAAAAATTGATGCGAACCAAGCGAAAATTCGGTACATTTTCTTTGACAAAGGCGAAAATGCAAGCCAAGCGGCTAAAATTGTGAATGGTGTTTATGGTTCCGTTAATGTAACAGAAAATTATATGCAATTTTGGTTTCGTAGATTCCGTTCAGATTTTTTTTGATGTTAAAGATGCACCTCGACAGGTAGGCCAGTCGTCGAAAATGTCGATAAAATCGGAGAAATTATCGCCCAGAAACTAAAAATCAACCATTAAACTGTTTTATGAGGCCGGTTCAGAAACTTCTTACAGTCTAAACAATTTTGGGCAGCTAACTCGTTCGTTTGGTTTTCATGCCGGAGGATGAAATGGACCAAATACTTAGGGGATGAAATGGACCAAATACTTAATTTTATCCCTTTTTCTGGTCGCTCCAAAGGCCGCAATTATGGCAGAAACATCGCGAATTTCCAAATGGGCCCTGACTTTTGGGTGAAAAACGACCAAATTTGTATTCTATAGCGTATATATTAACTCCTGAAGCACATAGACCCGAGATATTGATAGTATATCCAAGAGGAGTTTTTGGCCTTTAAATTGATACCAATTATATTGTCGTATGTACTCGCCTGAAGGAGTTACACTTAAATATTTACAGGTGCTTACATATTCAGGTTTTATTTAGTAATTCATTACCACACAGGAGGGCGGAAATATATCGCTGATCGCTTTGAAATGTTCCATAAGGTTCCAGTTATGGTCAAGGCCAAAGCCTATAATTTTCGGTGATGATCAGATAATATTTTTTGAATTCGAGTCGATCCATAGGCTACAGTTATAAACCGAACATCATAACAAAACCCACGGTGAAACGAATATGGACAAGTAATTAGAAGGACTGTACTGAATATTAGTAATATTCGGATAATATGTCAATGTAAGGAAGAGGTGATTTTGACCCCTAATCGGGCAAAAGGATGCAATTATCATAAAATATTTCCCAGGCTCTGAATAAAAATCTGCTGAAAGTAAGAGTTACGTGGTAGTTGTGTAGGGTATCGTATGGTCGGCCCGTCCGACAACACTGCTACGCGAAATGTCACCCTTTCCAACGAGCATAAATTTGAAATTGTTTGATCAATACTTTACGAGAAATTTATCAGTACAGCCATCTGCCGACAAAATAATGGATTTCCTTCTCCCCAACCTAATATGTGAGCTTTTAGTCAATGTCAAGTGATGTAGAATTTTATATACTGTAACCGGGTGCAAAAAATTTTAATGATACTTAAAATTGTATTTTTTAATTAATCCAAGAAAACAGGCTATTCTAACCCACTGTGCGGTGAAGCGAATATGGACAAGTAATTAGAAGGACTGTACTGAATATTAGTAATATTCGGAAAATATGTCAGTGTAAGGAAGAGGTGCTTTTGACGTCTAATCGGGCAAAAGGGTGCAACTGTCACGAAATATTTCCCAGTCTCGGAATAAAAATCCGCTGAAAGTAAGAGTTCCGGGGTAGTTGTGTAGGGTATCGTATGGTCGGCCCGTCCGACAACACTGCTACGCGAAATGTCATCCTTCCAACGAGCATAAATTTGAAATTGTTTGATCGATACTTTACGAGAAATTTATCAGTACAGCCATCTGCCGACAAAATAATGGATTTCCTTCTCCCCAACCTAATATGTGTGCTTATAGTCAATGTAGGTGTAATGCATGTCTAGTTCTATATATTTTGGTTTAAGGTCTAAGTTAAAATACTAATATCAATAATATTAAATCGAAACACCTGGCCGTTCCTTTACCTATTCTCCCGTACATCATCACCGCCACCATGCTTGAATGTGAGAATGAGATAATAACAAGATAAGTTCGTATTCTTCTCCCGCTAATATTTTTACTCTCAACGGTAAAAGGGGGAAGCACAGAAATAAAATTTTCACATCACATCACCTGTTAATTACAACAATAACATAGCGATGTCATCTGTAAAAATATAGGGTTTTGTTAGCAATAAAATGCAAACAGCGCCATCTAGCTTTTAATTCAGACATATTACACACATGTAATTTAAAAACATTTTTTTAAATTTCATGGGTGCATGAACACAAATTCTGCATATATACAACATTTTATGCTTTCTAAATAAAAAAATAAATCAAATGAACAGTTTTATCCAATATCATTTATTTTAATTATATAAGAAATATAAAAAGTGAAACAATCAATTCACACTCCCTCAAATACAAATGTAAGCGGTATATATCTGAATATTTTATCCAAATACTCGATCATAACAATCTGAACACCCTGCTCTAGAGCTGGACGTATTAATTCAAAAATTGTAGGCCAACTTTCATTTATAAGGGCATGGGCACTCTCCTCAAGGGCCACATCACCATTGAATAGATTTTCCAAGTGCATTTTCAAACTGCCAATATCTTGCCACACCAAATGGACATTTTCCATTTTACCAAATTTTATATTATTTTCTTCGATGACTTTAATGCTTGCGGACAAATATAGAAGTGCCTTTTCTGCAAAAAAAATATGGAAATTATTTTTACCGATTCCACATTTATGTTAAGATATATTTAATTACTAATTTTTACATCGGCTTTGCCTTTAGCATTTAAAGCCAAACTCAGCAGATTTCCACGAGCTGCATAGTCGCTTGTCATGTTAAATGCCGGCACATCTAATTTATATTTAAATGTCAAATTTTGGCTGTCCTTGCTAAAAAAAATATCGTATTATTATTTTTAAAATTTATTGTCGATATTTGCATTATTTTCATGCTTACGCCACATCAATCACTTTTGTAGCAGATAAACCAAATATTTCAAGATTTTGCATGGTTATGTTCAATGCGATGGGTCCGCCTGGTTGTTGTCGAATGGACATACGTTTAATGTGCATCGGATCAAGGGAACCGAATGATTTATAGCCAGGCACACCTAGAAAGACAAGAAAATATTAGGTTGGGGAAAAAGAAATCCATTTGGCCGGTAATCGAAAATGTCGATAAAATCGAAAATGTCGATAAATCGACCATACACCTGTTTTAAACCATTTACACAAAGTTGGATTCAAAAAGAAGCTCGATGTTAGGGCGCCACATCAATTAACAGAAAAAAAATTGGATATATCTCGAATTTTCATCTGTGAAGCCTTGGCCATACGGAATGAGATAGGCACATTTCTTAAATTGATGGTGACTGGAGATGACGAATGGATCACATACGATAATCCTGTGCGAAAACGATCGTGGTCAAAGAGTGGTGAATGGTGGGCAAACCAGGGCTAACGGTCAGGAAGGTCCTGCTATGCATTTGGTGGGACTGAAAGCGAATTATTTATTACACAGTGACACATTTTTTAACTTTAAAATCTTGAACCAATCGAGACCCCCAAAATCTTGAAGCTTGTGATGGTGGAAGAAAATCCCTAGCTGGGTTTTGCATTATTAGCTAAGGGTTTCCTTTAAATTAATTTTTAAAATATTCGACTGGAGGTGGATTTTAACACAATTTTCGAATAATACGTACTTATTATTGAGTCTATATCTCGTGAACTATTCTAAATATTGCTTTTATCTCTTAAGCAATATTCTTCCTCTTAATTAGATATAAAAATTTTTTCTTGAGATAAAATCAATAAAACATCACCATCATACTGAAAATAGCACAACTGCAAAAAATTTAAATTTCGCCATACTTTTTCCATGTTTTTTCACACTTAATTCAGAAACTGCTACTGACTCGACCAAACAATATATGACAAGAAGATAGCCAATAGCAAATCAAACAACTCTTCTTAAAACCCCGATTTCATTGGTTGACTCCTTCACATAGTTATAGCCTCACAAATTCATCAAAATGAACCAAAGAAATTCACTCCCAATTGTATGTTTATAGAAATAAAAATTGCTATGCTTTTTTTCAATAAATAGGTACAAAATTAAAGTAAAAATTAAAATGTTTGGGCCCTTTAGTTTTTTTCGAAGACAGGTCGCAGCGATATATGCACAGGGTAAACGCAGGAACTGGAGGTGCGACCTTAAAGTTGTCAATATTTTGGATGGCCAAAGTATTATTGCTTTTTGTGCCGTTGGGACACACGAGCAAACGTCGATCACTACTCGCACACAGCAGAGCCACTAATAAAAACCAGTAAGGAAAGTAGTAAAGTCGGACGGGGCCGACTATATGATACCCTTCACCACTTTGGGTATATTCAACAGATGAAGGACCAGTAAACTTAAATTGGATCCATAAACATGTCGTTCTGCAACCGATACTAAATTTTTCATTTGGTCGGATATAGAAGCTATATCTAAATCTGAACCGAATTCAGGAAAATTAACACACATCATTCTAGACCTAATTCATTGTGCTGTGCCAAATTTCATGCAAATCGAATGATAAATACATACTCTGGTGCACCATTTACCTTAAATCGGACGAAAATATATATGGGATCTATATCCAAATCTGAACCGATTTTCACCAAACTTAGCACACATCATTCTAGTGAAATCGGACAAAAATATATATGGTAGCTATGTCTAAATCGGAACCGTGTTTTCACAATTTCAATAGGTTTCGTCCTTGCGCCAAATTCCATCCAATTCGGATCATGTGTCTATCTCGTTTCCTTTTGCCTGTTACAAGCATATGCACAAAGACATAATACCCTGTACCACAGTGTGGTGAAGGGTATAAATATAAGTGACATATTGTTGCCACCGCTGCATATTACCCTGTGCATATATGGCAGCGACATGTCTTCGGAAAAACCAAAGGGCCCAAACATTTTAATTTTTACTTTAATTTTGTACCTATTTATTAAAAAAGCATAGCGATTTTAATTTCTATAAACATACAATTGGCAGTGATTTTTTTTGGTTCATTTTGATGAATTTGTGAGGCTATAACTATGTGAAGGAGTCAACCAATGAAATCGGGGTTTTAAGAAGAGTTGTTTGATTTGCTATTGGCTATCTTCTTGTCATATATTGTTTGGTCGAGTCAGTAGCAGTTTCTGAATTAAGTGTGAAAAAACATGGAAAAAGTATGTCGAAATTTTAATTTTTTGCAGTTGTGCTATTTTCAGTATGATGGTGATGTTTTATTGATTTTATCTCAAGAACAAATTTTTAGTTCTAATTAAGAGGAATAATATTGCATAAGAGAGAAAAGCAATATTTCGAATAGTTCACGAAATATAGACTCAGTAATAAGTACGTATTATTCGAAAATTGTTAAAATCCACCTCCAGTCGAATATTTTAAAAATTAATTTAAAAGAAAACCTTAGCTAATAATGCAAAACCCAGCTAGGGATTTTCTTCCACCATCACAAGCTTCAAGATTTTGGGGGTCTCGATTGGTTCAAGATTTTAGTGCTGCACAGTGTTATGAGTTGCTTCCAAATGACCAAACGCTAAATTCTGATCTCTACTATCAATAACTGGACCGTTTGAAGATAGCAATGGACCAGAATCGGCCAACAGGAGAGGTGTTGTGTTCCACCAGGACAACGCAAGGCCACACACATCTACAGTGATTCGCCAGAAACTTCGGGAGCTTGGTTGGGAAGTTTTAATGCATCCGCCCTACAGTCCGGCGATTATTATATTTTTCTTGCATTGCAAAATTTCTTTAATGATAAAAAATTGGTATCTAGGGAGGATCGTGAAACATGACTACTAGCGTTTTTTGCAAATAGAGAACAGGACTTCTAAGAGAGAGGCATTATGAAGTTTCCTTTAAAACGGCAACAAATCATACAAAAAACCGTGCATTTTTCGCCTAAATAGGACATTCCAAAGCATGTTAAATAAAGTCCTATAGTTTATATACAAATAATGGATTTTTCCCAAACTATTAAATCTTTAAATGAAGAAAATCCCGAAGATCTGTTTCTCACTTGAAAACATATCTCCCCGGCCTTTGTGGGGATTCATGCCCCTTAATATTATATTAGAAAGGGACCTATCGACACTGTAGATATTGAATGTTATCGACGGTAGCTTAACCTTAAGCAATTGCGTTTTTCTTCTTCTTAAGCAGGGTGCGCAAAAATTCGCTAGCGAATGAATTAAAATACATACATTCTTTTC